ACCCACATGGACTCGACCACGCAGGCAGGAGCGGGAAACCCCCTGGGCGTTGTCGTAGGCGTTGTATTGCACAGCCGCTGGGTCTCTAACAGAAAATTTTGAGAAGTAATTTACTTGGTTGAACTTAGTGTCTGGTTGCCTTGAGTCTTGCAAACAACAGAAGCCCTCTGTCATTTTTAACAGTGCCCACTAGCATAGAATGATAAAAAACACCCCAAAGAATCGACCTTCTCTGACGCGCAAATAATTCGGTTAGAAAAGAACTACGTAAATGTATTAAGTAGCGATGCAGTAAAATATTTAAATAGCATATCAAGAGCAACTTGCATCTGTGGTCCATCCTCAATTTCTGGGTACGGGTAGGCCAACCGCTCACCTGTGATGGTGAATGGACGATAGTCTGGATATACGACCTAGAAGAAAAACACCGAAGAATGGAGCTTGAAGTCACAAACCAGGTGTGCCGACAGCAGCTGCCGAGATAAAAAGTTTTAATTGGAAACTCCGAAGAAGGAATAAATGGGTCGCGTAAAACACACTTCGAGATACATTGAAGCTTCGGGTGAGGAGTAGTCTCATCTACGAGCATTTCAGGTGACAATCAAGCCATTGACAAAAATTGTTTCGGTTGACGAGCCTCCGCCCAGTTAACGAGGTGTCAGTGCGCGCGTGTGCCTGTATCCGCCGTTGAGTCTTGCTCCCACGGCGTAGGTCCTCGATCGCCTGCAAACAATCAGTGAACTAATGCAGTTTGATTGGCAACGCTTCGCAAAACGAGTGTTTCACATGACGAGTTCGGTGCCGGAACGGATTAAACTCGTTAACCGAGGTTCCACTGTATCCTTTATTTCAGAAAATATAACCACGCTCCAAAGGACTCGAATTAAAAAATTACGATGAGCGAAGTGCATAAACATTTCTGCTGCCCCAATTACACAGGTATGGTCTTTCAAGCATGTCATTGAGAGCCATAATGCCTCTAAAAAGTATCGGCGCAAAGTCTTGCCAGATTTAGCATAGGTAGCGAATCAATTAAGGAATCATGATTCCCGATTTTCCGAGCTACAATATCAAGCGAATCCACAAGGATTGAAAAGTATTCATTCACCACAAAAAGTTATTCGAGAAGAGGCTATCGGTCACTTTTTTACTTACTTCTACCTGCACGTACAAAGCACAGGGCGATGTCACCGGACTCTTATCAGGCTGGTAATGTTAACAGGCCAAGAAGTCATAAAGAAATAATTATGATACTTTTAAGAACGTCCCTTACTAATAGCATTGTCAATCACTTTTGGGTCATAGTAATTAACCCGCCACACCTATCCATTTCACCTCCTAATTATAATTACTAGGATGATCGGCTGGACTACCACCATCATCACCACTGACTACGAAAACTAACCTTCCAGTCAATCTTCTCGTCCGGAATGTTCACACGCATACCGGGTCTGCGTTCGAAGTTAAAGGGTGAAATTCGCCAGAGACGATGACTTCCAATCAAGCGTTCAAAGACCTGCCCGCTGGGAGGGATGGCGTCTGGTCTTCGAGATGGTGGCATCTTCGGCAGGGGCGTCACCACGTCCAGTTGGGTGCATGGGGGTTTCGGATAAGTCATGACAGCTTTGATGCAAAGGCCCTCAATGCGAAGTCTGTGGTGGGGAGAACATGACATTAGAAGATATCGCCACGAATTTGGATGGGCGAAATTAGCACAAACAAAGCGTATCAGCAGAAACGGGGGCGGGGATATGAATGATAAGCTAAAAAGACACCAATTTCCCGATATTAAGCCTTCAGTCTTAAATGTATTCAGACACAGTAAATAGGTCAGCTGTGGACCGAGAAACCGTTAAACCCATTAACATGCTTTTCATCATCTCTCAGGCAATTCTGTTACACTTTCAATGCGTTTCGAAACACAAACTTAAGAGGAGTTTGGCACATCTCAATAATTCATTTGACGCAGTTGTCAGGAACTATCGTGGGGTCCCCACAGTGCGCGCGAAGCGCGCTGCACTCCAATACGGGCACC